CCCCAAAACCCCAAAACCCCAAAACCCCATATATTGCGGAAAATATTGAATAATAATAAAATAAGATTATGAATACCATGGATTATTTAAGAAGCCCAATGGAGAATTCTGCCATGACTCTGAACTGAAACTCTCTATGTAACGAAGAGTCCTCCTGAAGTAAGTACTTCGTGTGTTTATTGTATCTAAACTTTTGAAGGATTGCTAAGATACATAATTTTTTGATACTTTAGCTTATATCCACACATAAGTAAACATTGGCAAGAATTTTATGTTGATTAAAATTTATAATGGTAATTTAAAGCAAAATTTATTCCACTAATATTTTGAGGTGTTTGGATAGTATTTTTATTCAAAATAAAATCAAACGTGAAAACCCAACTTCAGACTTGAGATTTTGTTCCTAAATGATATAAGTGTTCTCCTAACACTCAGAGTTGTCATATTTTAAGCCTAAATCAGACGTATTTGCGCTGATTACCATTTGCATAACAAAAGTTCCTCATTTCAAATTTTCTAAAATTGACTAAAATGAAGCCTATAACTTTTATAGAAGCTCCTAGAGTGCTTTTATTCTCATATTCGGACGGTATGTACTCTCTATAGTCGTAGTTAAGCATTAAAAGAGAAAAATAAGTTTTATTAGAGCTTTTATTGATTCTTCATTGTCAGTACACCTAATCGCCTTTCTCAATTATTTTTCAAGCCTTACGATAGAATTCCGAATAGAATTTTAGGGAACGAGTTTATTAAAGAGTTTTAGTGAGCTTTCTGATGATTATATTGTATCAGAGTAGGGAAGAAGCCTCTTTTTCAAGTCTTTAATCTGATATTTAAAAATTTTATCCGATACACTTTTTGACGAAAAATTACAGTTTACAATCATAATGACAAATGATTACTACTAAGCATAAATAAAGAATTTTAAAAAATTGATAACAATATAAATTAATTTGGTGACGACTATCTTCTCTTTGGCTTAGTTCAAATGTCATATCTACTTTAAAAAAAGATAGCAAAGTATTCCTTCATTTGTTAAACCTTCTTCAATAATCACAAGTTATATTCGTAGCACAAATCCTAATTTGCGTGTAGATAGCCAATGAGACTCAAAGATATTTAATGAAACCGGACTTCTAAACTTCAAGCTAGAGTTGGACTCTCCCTTTGCATTCAATGAAGATCTGAACTTACTTGATGATGTTTACCCTTCAGGTAATCTAGATATTCAAGAGCAAGGAAATCTCGGAGTTTCTAAGTTCACTCATGGAAGCCAAGAGCAGATATCTGAATCCCAATCCTCAGGAAACATCAACTCGGATTGCAATAACTTGTAAAGTGGTTAACTTTTAAAGTTTAGTTTAGTGCTATAGTTTTATCAAATTTTTCGCCCAAAGTTCCATTTTCTTCAATGTATATATGATAGCCTCAAAGGAGGATTAGGATAAATCGGTCAATTAGAAATTCATTGAGTTTAATTATTTAATTCAAGCTTTTTGACAAGAGCTGTTTTGCTGTTAGAGTAAAGGAGCAACATTCGTCAATAGGGGATATAGTACTATATCAAAATTGTTACTTCAAAGCATTTTGAGCTTCAGTCGATGATGATGTAGGCCAATGGTCTCTGAGATTTGAATTTAAAGCTACCAACTTTAATTCGGAAGCTTCGCCTCATTTTTGGTACAATCCTTCGTTTCTTCTCTAACCTCAGTGTCCTCCTCTTGTTCTTTTTCCCACCTCTTCAGTAGCGTCTTTCTTGAATGGCCAGGAAAGTACATGCCTGACACAAGATACTCTTCTCCACTCTTCAGAGAGTTCATTGGTAAATTGATAAGCTTAGTTTAAATAAAATAAAATTAACCGATGAGTTCGTAAATAGAGTTAACTTCAGGCAAATCTAGTGCTCACTTTCTTATGGAATAATTCGAAACTTTAAACAAGAAAAGTTAAATTTGAATACTTAGCATTTTATTGAAAAGAGCTCTCTCCGTCTAGGCTCTCAGAGACCCTCCTTTAGCTAAAACCTGGAATCTGAGTATTTTCATGTAATAATTTGTATAAAATTCCTCTTCTGGATTAATTTACTAATGCCTCTCTTTTTAGAGATACTTCTAAGACTGAGCCAAAGATCAAGCAGCTAAGTGAAGAGCTAGCAGATACCGAGAATTGAAAAGGAGCCCCCAAAGGAAGATGGGGCAGAGAACAAGATAAAATGCTGTTTCAAGAAATTAGATTACTTGAACGTACTGATAGGCTTTCGATACCTGAAATTTTTGCCCTAAAAACTAAAGAAGACTGCCTTAAAGATGATGATTTTATGAATCTACGAAACAGAGTAGGGTGGAATGCTGCTCCAAAGAAACTGCTTACAAGAATCAAATCTCGTTGTGGTACTGATTTTTCATGAAGAGAGATTAAGCTCCTCAAAAAGCTTCTCAAATAAATGGGACTATCACTATCAAATTGATCTGGAAAAGATAATTTACCACTTCCCAGGTAAAACTATGACAGGACTTAAAAGAGTTATTGAGACTCTTACTGAATGAAGAGAAAATAAAGTTTTGACCAAGCTCAAGATATCAGATCTTTTCAAATAGGTGCATTGAACAAAAAAATAATATTTGGATAAACATTTACTCATTTAAGCTGCTTTCACTTGCTGCTCTCCGGTTAACATAATGTTTTGGGACGATTTGGCAATTTGTCAATGTCGGAGAAAAGTCTCTCTCGATTCTAAATAGACCTAAATTATTAGTTTCTGAATAGTATAGAAAGAGAGTGATCTAGTTATGTAAAGATTCTCAAATATTGAGAGCCTAAAACTTCTCCTAACATTTAAAAGCCGTTCAATAAATAAGGTATTAACCTTAAACCCTCTTAGTTCTCTCTTGAAAAGCATGTGATATTAATTTGATGGTTATTGGAGTCTGGGAGAAGCCTAACCCTTAATTATTTGGATTCTTAGGTGAGAATATCAGGTTAAATTATTTTGAGAGATTTTTAGAATCATGATAAAGTGTCCTGACTTTGAAATTATTCACTCCGAGATGTTGAAGAGTGTGTAAAATATAAGTCTAATTTTGCGATAAAACCTGCCCAAAATGAGGCACTTTTAATTGAAAATTAATACTAGCCTTAACTGTTCGGAGCTTTACTTGTACTGATTAAATGTTTTTACGATAAATTTATTTTATATACACTTCAGTTCCAGTCTTTCTGCTAATTTTTTTATAGATTAGTAATATCTCTTATAAACTAGTTTATTAATTTGCATTAAATCGTGCTATAGAGGTATTTCTTCACTGCAGACTTAAAAAATAAACTTCATTTTCTTCCTGCCTTAGAAGTATTTTTGAGGCCCAAAGACAATTTTTTAGAACAAAATCTCATATTTTGGGAATATTTATAAACTTTAGCATAACTCATGAATAAAAAACTCACTAAATCGATACATGGATTCTGTAGAGTACTAAGAATAATTCAAAAAGAGTGCTAAACCGGATTTAATAGAAATCTCTGCTTTATGTCTAAATTCATGCCTAAAATGGCTTCCTCATTGTGCTTCTTATGAAAGAGGTGAGACTTTATTAGAAGGTAGTACTTTACCTCTGAATAACGGATAGTTTCAGCTACTCACACAATTTATGGAAATTATATCGCGTTTTATTCCAACTAACTGTATAACTTCGGATGTGCTTTTATGCTCACATATTAATCAAAGACTACAGTGTTATTGTGTCAGTACTTTTTGTTAAAGACTTGCTAACTAATTGGAACAAGGCTAAGCCTTAAAATGAGCGTTTGAATTACAGCCTGAGATGAAAGAGACCCCCAAATTAGATGTTCATCTTTTAAGGATAAACACCTGAATAGGATTAATAGTTTATCGAAAGAGCATTTCGTAATTCTGAATAGAGCAAAACTAAGCCTAGGCCTTAGATGTCTGTTTTTGGACTCGGATTTTAGATTTTGTGTTATTTATTAGTATTTAAAGTTCATTATTTTTAAAACTTCATTATAATTTGTTCCAAAAATTGAGAGAAAATGTAATTTTTATTCTTTTTCATGATATATTTTATTAGCAAACACTTCATCTTTATCTGTACTACCAGTCTGAAATTACTATTTTTGACAGAAAAACTAAGCTAATTAATCTCAATGTCTTTAAGACTTCCTAATCTTCGATGAAAATAACCTTAACTCCTTCTTTAGAGTCATGACTAATGCATTAATTTTTGCATCAGTTACTGTATTCTTCATATTATTTTGATATAATATTTTCTAAAGTGTTTCTAGACCATAAAAAACCATTTCTATTTTCTATCTTTTAGTTTGAAGTTATTTTTTGTGCATATTTTTGTATTTCTACTTAAATAATTTAAAAACTATTACATTCAACACTTCCTCATTGCCTTGGGGTTTTGGGGTTTTGGGGTTTTGGGG